ACCCTCCCTCTCACTCAAGGACTGGAAGTTCCTGTGATGTTTGATCATATATGACACTGCTCAGAGCTGGCATGGAGTGCAGTGGGTGGGTGGCAGCTGGATAAGAGCCAAACATGAAAAAATATCCCTGAAGACTCCAGCCCTGGAACAAGAGGTGGAGGGAAAACTGGTTGGAATCTTTGTGGCACCAGGTGAGCAGGAAGAGAAAGAGTGCCTTAGGGGGCCTCTTTGGACAACTCTGAATTCAGAGAGACACCAAGCTACCTTCTAGGCTTCATCCAGATCACAAGGAGTCTTTCTCTTCATTAGTTTGGGGGAGCATGGAACAGTTTTTCCAGTGCCCAATTCCTGTCCCTTCTCCAGTTAAGGTGATACAGATTCCTGACCTATGGGGATGGGAAATATGTGCTCTGGTGAACTATGGCATTATGATAGATCGTGAGTAGACTCAGTCTTATGAGTCTATGCTCAGGCACAGTAGCATAGAAATGTCAACTGCCCTTCGGAGTCCACATTTAGAGGGGAGATACATGGTCCCCTGCTTTTAGGGAATCTCCAGGCAACGGGAAGCAAGAGAGCTCTATGATAAAAGAAGGGCCTAAAAAGATAAGATGGGCCATGGAGTAAAAGGATGGGTTGAAGGGAGGAGAGATGCAGAGCTGGGGGCTAGTTAGGAGCCTGTTTTCATTCAAGCCTGATGATGGGATCCAAAGTCACACAATGGGAAAGGAATACAGGGGAGAATGAAGGGAGAGGTGGTGGGACTTGGCGATGGATTGAACAGAAATCAGAGATGAAGAGGAATAGAGTGACAATATAATTTATTGCCCAATCCAGAAGAGTTTCGAGTACAAACAAAGTGCTATCAATCATTTCCCCAGGACAGTACACATACACTTGACAATCCTGGGCAAATCTGGACACACAGACACCTTGGTAAAGATGACCCAAGGTTGGGACTTCCCTGGTCGTGCAGTGGTTAAGAATCCACCTGCCAATGCAGGGGACACGGGTTCAAGCCCTGGCCCGAGAAGATCCCACATGCCACGGAGCAGTTAAGCCTATGTGCCACAACTACTGAGCCTGCCCTCTAGAGCCCACAAGCCACAACTACTGAGCCCATGTGCCACAAGTACTGAAGCCCACGTGCCTAGAGCCTGTGCTCCACAGCAAGAGAAGCCACCGCCATGAGAAGCCTGTGCACCACAATGAAGAGTAGCCCCCACAGGAAGGGGGAGGTGTAAGCTAGGATGAAGTGAGAGAGTGGCATGGACATATATACACTACCAAATGTAAGATAGATAGCTAGTGGGAAGCAGCTGCATAGCACAGGAGATCGGCTCGGTGCTTTGTGACCACCTAAAGGGGTGGGATAGGGAGGGTGGGAGGGAGATGCAAGAGGGAGGAGATATGGGGATATATGTATACATGTAGCTGATTCACTTTGTTATACAGCAGCAACTAACACAACATTGTAAAGCAATTATGCTTCAGTAAACATGTTAAAAAACAAAAAGAGTAGCCCCTGCTCGCTGCAACTGGAGAAAGCCCGTGTGCAGCAACGAAGACCCAACACAGCCTAAATAAATAAATAAATAAACTGAAAAAAAAAATGAGCCAAGGTGTGGTGCTGGGGCAACAGCATGTATAGGGTGATGCTGACCAAAGCAAGGAGGCTGGGAGGCAGGGAGAAGGATGGACGAAGAGCGCTAAGGAGCCTCTGGTATTGGACTGTTTGCATTTGAAGTGTTTGGAGACATTCACCTGGAAAAACATCAGCAGGCCACCCCCTTCTAAGCATCTGTGGGCTCTTGCTTGGAAATGTGGGTTTCAAGCTTGAAAGAGAAGTCAGGGTTAGATATACATACACTACACATCTCTTGACCCAACAGTACATCTTTTAGAAATCTGAATCTCAGAAATACTCATTCTTGTGCAAAATGACATATGTTTAAGGAGGCTCACTGTGGCATTGTTTGTAAGAGCAAAAGCTTCGAAACAATGTAAAAGCCCACCACTAAGGAACTGGTTAAATCTCTTATGGAGTACCACGTGAAATTATCTAATGTAACGAGGTATATCCTTATGTGCTGACCTGGCAAATATCTCTGATGTTTTTAAAGTGAAAAGAGCAAATACTAAATAGTAGTATGACATGATAAATCTATACAATAATTGTTTTAAAATCTAATTTGCGTGTGTGTGTGTAGTGAATATGTAAAAGATCTAGAAGAATACACACCATATTGTTAACTCCAGTAACTTATAGAGAAGAGAGTAGAATTAGAGGGAAGGAGGAAAGAGGAGCTTTTACTTCTTGCTCTACACATTTCTGGATTGTTTGAAATTTTTATAAGCATGTATTCATGTATTATATTTTAAAAGTAAAGAACAATGAAAAGAATTCTTTAAAGACAGACTAGGGAGTTATGAAGGTGATGAGTGGAGCTCTGGAAGTGGGAGAAAGTGGGGATTGGGGCTGGAATTTGAGACCTATTCCCACAGAAGGGGAGCTGGGAGAGAGGAGACAGGGCCAGAGAAGAAACCCCAGAATATTCCCAAAGTGACTTAAACTCATTTCTGACCTCCAAGGCTAAGAGAGATAGACTCTCCACTCCACAAGTAAGGCTGCCTGAACCATTCTCTCCAAACTCCAAGCTTCCCCTTCAACAGAGCTGAGCCTATACAAGAGCCCAGCTTTGTTCCAGGGCCCCTGATGGGTCCTAGGTGACCCACCGCTGCTCCAGACGCCACGCTGTTAGAGAAAACCCCACTTCTTTCTTATGTGCCACACTTGCCTAGGAGACCAGCTCCATCCTAGGCACCACATTGCTCTGGTTGATGCAGAGCCATCCTAGGAGGCCCCAGCCCATGCAGTCTTGACTTCTTCCTGCTTCTCTCCTCTCCCCTGATGCTGCCAAAATGCACAGCATTTCTCCAGGTGAAGGAAATAATAGCCAGAAATGAACTCCCTCTTCTGGAGCAGGGCTGTGTGTTTAGGAGGAAGGGGTGGAATCAAGAGGACAGACAGTAGCATGACTCACAGGGGCTCCTCCCCTGGGGAGATGGAGCCTGACAGGCTGGGGTGTGGGACACCTTGAGGTGATTTCCTGACAAGGCTGTCAGCGTTTCACTCCTCACTCTCAGCGTGAGTCCCCTGCAGCTAAGCTAAGCCTTCTCCGTCTTTCTCCTCACCTCTCCAGGGCTCTCTTCCCTCTCCCAATGGCCCCCTCCCCACTTGCAAGCCCTTTCTGGTGCTAACTTTCTGCCTCAGTGCTCCAGTCTCCAGCTCTGATAGGCATTTTCCTTTTTTTTTTTTTGCGGTACGCGGGCCTCTCACTGTTGTGGCCTCTCCCGTTGCGGAGTACAGGCTCCAGACGCGCAGGCTCAGCGGCCATGGCTCACGGGCCCAGCCGCTCCGCGGCATATGGGATCCTCCTGGACCGGGGCACGAACCCGTGTCCCCTGCATCGGCAGGCGGACTCTCAACCACTGTGCCACCAGGGAAGCCCTCCTTTTTCTTTTAACAGAAATACATAGAGTCAGCTTTTCTGTTGGGGTACCCTGGTCCTGGGCTCCTTCCCAACCACAGCAAATTTCTTAAATGATTGGGAGTCCAGGGATGCACAATACAAGGGGCATGGAGGCAGTGAGTGTGTGTGTGTGTGTGTGTGTGAGAGAGAGAGAGAGAGAGAGAGAGAGAGAGAGAGAACATGCACCCTTTGGGGTTGTGTATGTGCTGCTCAGGGATGGGAGGGGTTCAGAGAACGTGTAAGGGGCACAGTGGGGGGCACAGCTGAGCCTGCTAAGGTTCCTCAGATCTTAGAAGATTATAGGACGTGAGTATCAACAGTGTCTTTAGAGTTTGTCTCAACAGTCTCCCCCAACCTCCACCCCTGCCACTTTATAAATGATAAGGCTGAAGTCCAGAGAGGTTAAATGACTTATCTTCTGCCACACAGATAGCTAGTGGCAAAACCAGGGTGAGAACCAGGGATCCTGACTTGTGGACTACACTGTGGCCACAACTCAATCAGGGACCTTAGAGAAAGGTCCTATTTCTCAGACATGGTAGACGACAGATTTGACTAACAACTTCTCAAAGAGATGGGAAAAGCTAGAATCTCTTGGCCTTCAGGCTGCCCAGGGGACAGGCAGGGTCCTTTCCCTCTGCACCCCCCAGAGCCCAGCAGTGACAGCAACACCTCTTCTTATGGTCCGGGCTGCTTCCCTCCTCTTCCTGGGCAAACCCCAGGGCGTAGCAGTCTGACTGCTGGGAATACTCTATATTCACGTTCGTCTCCTTGGCTGCAGGTGATTCTTGCCTGACCCTGAGTCCCACCTGCCTCATCCAAGGACCTAGCCCAAGACAAATTTGTCTTCTCCCTGTGCAAGCTCTGAGTCCAGCCACCCTGCCCCCCAGGGCCTTACTTTACTTTTTAGAAGCATCCTCTGTCTCCCACCCCAAATCTGGAGTCCTTGTCATCCACAGCCCCTTGGCATTGGGCTCACTTGCCTTCTGTGGGAATAAGATGAAACCCCTCCCCCTTTAGTGATTGGAAGAGTAATTAATCCTTAACACAAGCTTTAGTCATTTGCCATCCATGCAAAACACCAGCATGGCGTCCCCCACCCCCTCTACACCACCCAACACTCTCTTCCTCCTGCTTGTCCCTGTGCAAAGCTCCTATATGAAAGACTCTCCCTCACACCACTGTTCTCCCAAATCAGGCCTTCAAGAGGGGCCTGAACTCCTGAGATAGGAGGGGGAAGTGGTGAGTCTGTGAGTGCACTTGGCTTTCTCCCATCCCTCTAATCACCTCTCCCAACTCCCAGCCATTCCCCAGGAAGAGAGTGGAAAGAAGGGTGCAGAAAAGAAGTTGGCAGGGCAATAAAAATGTCAGGGCCTTTCCTCCCTTTCCTCTCAGCGCCCTTCTCTAGTTTCTCCCGCTTTCTCCTTTCGCCCCTCCCCCTCCCTCCCCCTTTCTTCTCTCTGGCAGATCCTGCAGCGAGTGCGGCCGGCCGGCCAGGAGAGGAAGCCGCATTCGGGGTGTGAGGCGGGAGAGGTTAATTATTGCTCCCCCGCCCCCCACTCCTCCCTCACCCCTGCGCAAGATGTATCTGACTGTCAGAAGCGGTGACAGATGAAGACAAAGTACAGGTACGGCTCCCGCGAACCCGGCCCTCGACGTACCAGCCAGGGGTGGGAGTGGAGGGGGGCACGCTACCGAAGTTTTAACCCCTCTAACGCCGGGCCACACAGCAGGGGAGAGAGGGGGCGGGGGAGGTGGAGAAACCCGAATTAGAACCCGGTCCCCTCCAGGGCAGCTGAGCCTAGGAGACCTGTTGGCCTTCTCGCGCCTGGGGTGGGGAACGGGTGGGAGGCATGGAGGACTCCGTCCCAGAGGCTGCGGAATCAAGGTCGGGAGAGAGACCGTTCCGCGGATGTTACAGGTACAGAGAAATGGGCTCATGGAGTAGCCTGGGGGGTAGGTCGATTTGGGGACCCAGGGACCCCAATGAGAGGGAGAGTTCTACCCCTCCTCCTTCTCCATGATAACATTCTGCCTCACCCCCAGCTTTATTGCTAGGCTCCTTGCCAGGGTGCGCTTGTGTGTTTGTTTGTTTGGTTGGTTGGTTGGTTTGGCCACGCCTCCCACCTTGCGGGATCTCAGTTTCCCGGCCAAGGATTGAACCCAGGCCAAGGCAATGAAAGCCCAGAATCCTAATCACTAGGCCACCAAGGAACTCCTGCACTTGTGTGTTTAAGAATGAGAATTGTGTGTCTGAACATGTATGTACTGGTGATGATACAACTCGACAGACTTGATAAAGTCTAAATATGTTGGGAGGGGGCATGCATTCACACCTCCAGTGCTTGGAAGGGGTGTGTGTGGGTACCTGTGAGGGGGCCTATACTGTGAGCACAATGTGTTGGGAGTGTTTGTGTAGGAGAGAGAGCTTTTGCCTGTACGTATGGCTGTGGTAAAGGAGTGTATCTTCAGGACGGTGGATGCTCTGAGCTTGCAAGTACTGAGGAGTCTGCATTTGGGAGGGTGTGGATGAGGTGTGTCTTTCTGTGGGTGCACAATGTGTGCCAGCGTGAGGGGCTCTGTGTGGTGACTCATGCTGCTGTGAGTGTGAGCCTGATTGTGTGTGCCTGTCGGTAGGGCCTGTGCATGTGCATGCACGCATGTGCCAGCCCAAAGCTGCCAGCCTCTTCCCTCACTGGCATCCCTCCCTTTCCTGACTCTCCTCTCACCATAAGCAAACGAGGTAAAATAATTACTTTTCCATTTAAATGCCCCATGTTCAAGCCAGAATGAAAACAAAGTGTTTTAATAAAATTGTCTTTAAAAGGAAAAAGAGGAAAATAAACGTCTGCTCTGCTTCTCTCCCTGGCGTTCAGGGAGGCCCCAAGCCCTTCAAAGTTAATTAAAACAGGAACTAAAATCGCAGAATCACTTACTAACCTTTTCCCCATCTTCGTCTTAAAGGTAAGGCAGCCCCCAGAAGCCTTGCCTCCGGCCTGGACCTTGAGGTCCCCCTGTTCTCAGGCTCAAGTTCTCCCTGGGACCAACCTTCAGGCTTGGCAGGTACCCTGGCTTTCCGACAGCCACATCTGGGGATGGGGGGGAGCTCTGCCCCTTCCCTCCTCCCAAAGAGTCATTAAAGGCCTCCTCCGGCCATTTGAAGCCCTTGATGGACATCATCCCCATCAGAAGCTTCCGGCCCTCGCCTCCTCCCAGGACACAGCCCGCCCTCAGCCCCTGCTGCCCCTCCCCACGGGTCTCCTGAGTCCCCAGCTGCTCTGAGCTTTATCTGTCTTCACTGACCCCCTGGCCTGGTCCTCAGCTACAGCTCAGCACAGTTCCGGCTGCTTCCGCCTGGTCTGTATCTGTTCCCCATCAGAGGCCCCATTGGAGCTCCAGCCCTTCAGCAGCCCAGATAAAAGAGATGGATGGAAGTGAGTTTCGAGGATGCCCCTCCCTCCAAGCCCAGAGCTAGAGCCCTGGGTTCTGACAGGGGCTCCCTGAGGAGGGCGGGGGTTGGGGGGGTGTGAGGGTGAAGGCTGCCAAGCTCTCTGGAAGCCCAGCCCCTACCCATCCCCACCTTGCCATAGCCCTTCCCCTCCTCCCAAGACCCAATTTCTCAGGCCTCCTTCAGGCAGGCACAAGACTGTAATTACCCACACACTTCAGCAGGGAGCTCTGTGCTAGGTACCTTGCCCCATCTCCATGTAGCTCACCCACCTAGAAATAGTGACAGAGAGATTGACCATTTGTTGAATACCTATTGTGCTTCAGACACATTAAGCAGGAAGCTCTGTGCTAGGTACCTTGCCCCATCTCCATGTAGCTCACCCACCTAGAAATAGTGACAGAGAGATTGACCATTTGTTGAATACCTATTGTGCTTCAGACACATTACTTAGAAGATCTCTAATCTCATCACAACCCTTACAGAGGACGTTTTATCACTATTTTGCAGAGGAGGACACAGAAGAAGGAAAGCTTAGAAACTTGCCCAAGGTATGCACCTAAAAAGCAGTACCACAAAAGCTCATGTCCCCTCTCCAGCCTATCCTTGACCACAGACTCCCAGTTCTGTTCCCAAAGACCTATCATTACCCTTCAGAGACCAACTTCCCCTAGAGCTCCCCAGGAGTTAAGACCTGGGCCCCTGTGAGGGCCAGCTGAGTCCCGCAGACCTGTGAGCCCTTCTCCCCACTTTAGTGATCTGGGGTTGGGATGGGGGGGACAGAGGGGAGGCAGGAAGTAATTGTCCCTAGAGCCCTCAGCGCTCATCCTGGAAGACCCCATCACTTCTCATGACCCCATTTCAGTACCCTAAAGTCCATCCTGCCTCCCATGGTGCTGCCCACCAAGGGGACAGGGTGAAACTTGATTGTGGGGTAACATTTGTCACCAAAACTGATTTTCACAACTCTTCACCCTCTTCAGAGAGCTTTCAGTTGCCCAGATAGCAGAGAAAATATAGAAAATAAAGGCAGGCCAGGAACCAGCCTGTATCTTCAGCCCATCCCCCTTCCCTCAACCAGTGTGGTCACAGTCCAGGGACCTAAGATCTCAACCCTGGGAAGAAAAGGACTGAAGAAGGGGAGGAGAGGCAATGAAAGGACAGAAACCCTGGTTTTAGGATGATGTGGTCCAGCACAGGAGGCTGAGAAGGAAGGGGACAGGAATGAGGTGTTACCACAGACCAAGAGTGAGGATGGCACCTGAAGACTTCTGGCCTTGACTGTGTCTGGAGAACATCTAGCAAAAGGAGGGAAGGAATGATCCAGAAGCACCTTTTTCCCAGTTCAGTCCCAGGAATGTGTGTGTGGTGAGGGGAGGGTATGTTCTGTGATCTTTTCCAGGTCACCATTGTTTGAACCCCCTGGGCTGAGCCCAAATTGAAACCTGGTAATGGCAGCTGGTCAGGCAATGAGCCAGGTGGCTGGGATGGGGCTTCATGGGACCGTGGTGCTGAGAGTTCTGCCTCACCTCGCCCACCAGTGAGTCACCTAAGCCAGGCCAAGCTCTGGAGCCAAAGCTCTTCTCCTCTGCCCCCCACACATCTGGGACCCAGCTTGAAGGGAGAGGACTAGAGAAGAACATTAGGGGCCCCTGCATGGAGAAGGGAGGGGTGGGAGAAAGGGAGGGATGACTCCATCTGAGATGGCCTCCAAATTCCACCCCAAGATTGGTTTTCCTTGCCACCAGAGCCTCTACCTCCACACCCTCCCAACTCCATCCCTGATCCTGACCTCATTACTCCCCTCAGGCCCCATCTCTATCCACCAGCTCATCCTTCCCCCAAGAGTTCTCAAATCACCCCCATTATCTGCAACTGACTCCCAGAGCTTCCATCACTACCTCCCAGACCGGATCTCTTCCAGTCTCTAAATGCACCCACCACTGCCCTCCGAGAACCTATTCCTACCCCCAGCCTCCCGGACTCCATTCCCACCCATCCCCAACCCATCATCCTTCCTCCTAAGGTGCTCTGCTTTGAGCAGAGAGGTGAGAATTGATCTTCATTAACATTCCATCACTCTAAGTGGACTTACCTAGCTGTTCCCTGTTTAGAAAGAACCTAGTCATTCAGAGGGCTGAGGAAATAACCAAAACATATCCTAGGAGGTAATCACCCTATGTCTCCAGCC